GCGCGGACAGCTCTTATAAATCATTCAGCAAAATACCTAGCTAACCTCATAGCAAAATTATCTGCAAAATCATGAGCATAGTGCGCATAAATAGTAAGTACGCAAGTGGTGGGAAGTAGTTTTAGCTTTTTCGAGCCTAGCTACCTCTTTTTGCGTCCGTCACTGTTGGCGAGCGAGCAGCCATTTCGATTAGCTATCGTCACAAGCTCTCGATATATGCCGCGCTCCCGTGTGCATTGCTCCGTCCGCTGACAGAGGCCAGTGTACGAGCGCTGTTTTAAATTCGGCTGCCCTTCCCTCACTCCTCCTTAGAGCCCTTTTTTCCGTACTGGACGCTCGAGTGTTAATGAACGGGCATCCATATTAATTAGTCACCGTCACTCGTTAACAACAAAGGCTGCTCTCGGGAATCCTGAGGATTACCGTTTTTGGTTGCCGAAGTTGTCGGCGTAGCGCAGCTGTCTTACGGATAGGAAGAAAGACAAAAGCACTCCAATAGACGGAAAATACCTGGGCTTACGAGCCGTGGGAAGCACTTGAGAGTTTGGGGTTGATGTTGTGGCTGTCTTTATGATCTTGGATTTTCTACATCACAGCCAATCACAATGCCCCTTCTGATGCCAGATTTTCGCTGCCGATGAGCACAGGGCGCATCGCTTTTGCTACCAGGGTAGCTTATGGGAGGCCACTTGTCGGCGGCGGGCTGACATATGTTGAACAGTTATTATCTTCTTTCCGCCGGTGCTTTATTTTGCATTCGTTTTGACATCTATAACCTCTTCCTCAGAGTGAACTATTCACATAAACAGGCTCAGTTAGCGATGCCTAGTGGGTTGAAGTAAAACTTCCAACTTTGCTTTAGGTATCATTCCTAGCAAGTTCCGGCTTTAATAACATTTGCTGAACATCGCGGTTACAAAAACTAGGTAATCAGAAGATTTACATCAATGCTTTAGTAGAAAAGTCGGTTTAATAGCTAATGTTATTGTTCATTTTTGTTTGATTGGAACAATAACTTTTGCTGTCACACTTGAAGGTCCCGTGTGTCCCACGAAACATGCCACCCAAATGCGTTTGTGTATGATTAGCAACTGATCTGGAGAGGTAAAAACCTACAGAGATATCAACAGGCGTGGTCATGCCATGCGAATGCTGACAAGCATCCTATAAAGCTAAAA